GATAAGATGAATGAGGAGCCTCAAACTAGTTCGGAGGATCAACATATACAAGACAAAACTGATGAAAACCAAGAGTCAGAAATGCTGTTTTCTCGTATCCGGAAGAAACTGGGCTCTTCCTCTAAGCAGAAAGGTAAACGAGTGTTTGATAGCGGTGAGGCATTTAGCATCCCCTCAGAAGCTAAGGTATGATTTGCTCAATAGATGACATTGATGAAAAGGAAAGCATTTGGTATTACATGATTATTGATGTGGTTTTTTCACCTTATCTTATGACGTGCAGAAGCATAAGAAAGTCTCGAGTTGTTATAATAGCCCACAGTCAATTGTTGATTCCAAGTTAGGATCCATGAAGAAGCAGAAACCAAAAGGTTTGGGTGGGTTGGGAAAGGTAAGTGTGTCATATATCTCTTATCTTGTGTAACTTCTTTAAAATCGCGAATAAGAACATGCTAAATAGTAGAGCAGAAGGCTGCTAATAATGTATTACTACATGCTTGTACATATTGTCTATAAGTAGTGCATTCGAATCTGTCAACTTGTATGTCACTATGGAATCCAGGAACACATTTAAGCAACACTTCATGATTTGGAATATCAAACTTTTTTTATGTTTATGTTGTAGTTCAAAATATTTTTGTTATGGAATCTCAACAAACATTCTCTTTGCCTTGCGATTCAATATTAAGAATAATACACAGTAAGAATTTATGAGGACTTTTTGAGGAGTTTATTAGTTAGTATCTTTTGAAACTTTCTTCTCCTTTACTGTTCTGGGTTAAGTTCTCTGCAATTCTGTATAGTTGAAGCATAAAATGGTTTTTGGCTGATCCTGTTGTCCTTTTTTTTTTCCAAATATTTTCTGTCATCATAGTGCACTACAAAAGAAAATGGAAGTTCTGCAGAAGACTTAATTGATTGCAGAATAAAGGTTTGGTGGCCGATGGATAAGCAGTAAGTTCTTTTCAACGTGACCGCAAATTTTTATCTGATTGTCACATTTGTAACCTAGGGAAAAAGTTTATAAGGTAAGACCAGCATATAGATTGTTACTGTCCTTGCATGTATTTCCTCTTAGTGATTCTTCATTTCAACTCCCTCTTAAAAATTCTAGTTAGGCGGCCCCTTCCAACCTCACTACTCCACGCGTGACCTGAATTAACATGTCAAGTAAAAAATGCAAAAAAATGCATTTTCTACTTCGGTAACTATGAATTTAACTCAAATGTTTTCACCTTCGTTTAAAGGACCATCGTTCATGAAGCTTTATGTCATTTTTTTTATTTGATCACGTTACTGCATTTCATCTTCATGCTAGCTCGGTTCTTGGGTATGAGCCGAAAGATTTTGACGAATCTTTGAATTATGATTATAATATGCTATGCCTGTCTGATCTCAACAGGTATTATGAAGGTGTTGTGAAATCGTACGATACTGAGAAACAGAAGCATGTGGTATGCTGCATTTTTTAGTGTTTTGCGTGCAATTTTGTACATAATTCTTAAATGAATCCTCATGATTTCTCTTTTCTATTGATCATTTTTTTTTCCCCTTCTTCCTTTATTTTTCTTTTGGTTTTGAAGATATTATATGATGATGGGGATGTGGAAGTTCTTCGATTAGATAAGGAACGCTGGGAGCTTGTCGAAAGGGATCCAAAGGTCAATGCCTAAATACTCACTAATTATCGTTCTCTTAGGCATAGATGTTAATTATTTCAATACTGTTTACCAAAAACTTATTGCGCAACATTCAATACTGTTTGCAGAGATCTGGTTCATCAAAGGGCGTGTCTCAGAAAGGAGGGTTAGTGCTCCACCTCGATATCCGTATATATGTTGCTTAATAATTTAAGGAGTTCTAAATATATACTAATTGTGTATGGTAAGGATATATCAATGTTGTAATCATCCACACAGTAAAAGATACATGTCTAATATTTGACAACTATCACTACTTTCTCTTAAGGTGCAATATTTCCTCTTTTCCCTTTTATATTCTTGCCACCAGTTTTTTTGTTTGCAAGCAAACATTCTAAGTATGAATTTGCATATGTACACACTCATACACGTAACAATAAGTATGCATTTAGAGATCTAAATATACTGAGAAACTTCAAGGATAATATCATAGACATCAGTTATTGAGAAAGAGAAATTGAAACTTCGAAGAATTTTAGATATAAGACTTATCAAGGGGGATGATGGTTATGTTGTATCTTTTATTTTACAAAACCAATCTCCATCAATGGCGATGAAAGTGATTCCTTATTGTTGACCAACCACTACAAATATATTAGTACTCCACTACTATCAATTTCAAACCCGTACCCATTTCCCCTCATAAAACCATGCACCCCCTTAATCGATCACACTGAAAATATGATTTTTTTTATTTTTTTTTTCATTTTTACTTGTGGTGTTCTCAATGCTTTTAGTTTCGTGTGATAGTTTAGGTTCCATTATAGTCACAACAATTCATCGATAATGATTTAGAGGAAAATTTTGTAAGTGAAACTAATGCTCGTTCTGTTTGCTCTAGAAGATTTTGCCCGTATTATTGTAGAAGTTTTGGTTGTTTTTGTAACTTGATGTTCATCTATATAATTTATGCCCAAAAGATTTTTTCATCGAAGCTACGTGTCGTAAAATATAGTACTTTTTACGTACACTCGCGATAAATATATGTTCCATGGGTTATCTATTGCCAAGTTACGTGATATTTACTAGTTTCTTAAGATGTTTCTTTCCCCATAAGTGTGATTTTCACTTAACATAATAAAGTTTTGGTTGTTTTTG